ATTTGTCGCAAAAACAAATACATAAAGTTCAATCACAGGTCAACAACACCCATTGGAAAGGTAGCACGTACTATTCATACGATGTTTGTGGAATATTGCAATGATTCGTTACTACCATCTTTCAAGGTATTGAAGATGCACTTCTTCACATTGAAGAATATGAATGTACAGCCTTCAGTCATGTTGTACCATACCATATGATCCTGTGGCAAAGCACAGATTTATTGATACACTTTTAGCATCGGGGCTATCTTTTCCTGCCATGATTTTAGTATATACTCCAGGTAGCAACATAGAAAATTTTCATTTTATGTGCAAAACTTTTGAGACTAATCCAGCAGTACGCTCTGAGAAAAGCCAACCTGCTATAGAGGAAGCAAAACGAGATGTTTCTATTTATCATACAAGGGCGATGAGGCGGGCTGTTTTTCAGAAGTTTGGCCTTGTGTCTAGTAGTGTAAAGCCAATGATACTTCAATATTTTTACCAAGATTTAACAGGTATAGGGATTAATTCCATTTCCATGTAAACAGTTTGCTATTTTGTTTAAATAGGTGACCAATCTGCCTCTGCTACCACTGAACAATCTTATATAGATAAAAGAATCAGAGAAATTATGGATATAGAAGATAGTGATGTTGTGCTAGATTTAGGTAGTGAAAATAGCGATCAAGAATCCCAGTAAAATGCATTTTGGTCTAAGTGTCAGAATTATTTAAGTGAAGATATTGATATTGCAGTACATGAAAGAACACATGGCAGTGTTACTCATTTGGCTCATGCCATTTCAAATAGAGATTTAATAGAACAGGTAAAAGCTCGATGTCCAGAAGGAACTTTAATACCTTCACATGAGTGGTGCAGGCTTGCCCAAAACAGGGACACATGTCATTACATCACACAGGTAAAATTGTCCTGCAGTTTATGATTCAACAGCGTCAATGGAAGAAAGAGCATGAAGATTCACATAATGCTGCAGCATTATTTCAGTGAGAGGTCTCTTATTTTTAAGTTAAAAGTATTTTATAATACACTATTTGTTCCTGTAGCTATATTTTTCCTTTTTTATATTAAAACTTTTCAGTGTATGTGAGTATTGATTGTAAAAGCCTAGCGTCATGCTTTTCAGAAAGTTGTAATTCTTTGTTCCTAAACTTGTAATTTTGTGTTCCTGAATACCATTGAGTATATTGTGCGTTTTACCTACATCTTTTTGTCCTCAAAGCCACTTATTTTCAATTGAAAAAATATTTGCGTTTTGTTATTGGTTTTAATTTAGCATTTGCTCAGCCTTTAATAAGAATTTTCCTGCCAAGCTATCACAACACTTTGTTTCACAGAATGATTTAACGTAGCAAATGATATGCTAATCAATTTTCTTCTTTCTAAAATATTATCAATATGTGTTATTTTGTTAGCAGTACATGTCACTTATGTTTTTTATTGTAGGTATATGTGTGATTATGTTTTACTTGTGAGAAATCATTGCTCTCTGATTTGTGTCGATGATAAACATAAAGTCAAGGTGGGGAGCCCGGGTTTCCTGTGGCCTCAGCAGAAAGGGAGAGGAGAGTAGCAGTATGTGCTGATAAAATTTTGTTGTGGGAAACCATGATTTTACAAAGTTTGGGCTTATTCCATCAGTTACTTTTATTATCAAGATTCCAGATGAAATTTTTTGTTCATGGTATTATTGTAAGCACTTGTATTTTTGTTATTACCTCATTTTTTCCAATAATTAACAGGTAATGTGTATGTTGGTCTTAAAGATTCAATGTTTGAACCTTTCTTTTCTATTTGCCACATGACGGAATTATATCAGACTATTTTGAAGACTGATACTCATAAAAAGCCTACATTATTTATATACTCAGACAGTGGACCAGACAATCGCCTGACATACATCTCAGTTCAGCTGTCTTTAATATGTCTCTTTATTAAACTAGACCTGGATTATTTTTGTGCTTGTCGCACTGCACCTTATCACAGTTGGAGAAATCCGGTTGAACAAGTTGTCTATTTTAAACTTAGATTGCAGTGTGTAAGACTTGCAAGAGAGCAAATGACAGGAATTTGAGAAAGACGCAGCAAAAGCCAATTCGTTATCAAAGTTAAGAGACATTGCATCACAAACCAGTGGATTTGAAGCACCTGTTGCAAGCTCACTTTCACCTGTAAAATCTCTACTTCATATGCTACATACATGCTTGCAGCAACATGTTTCCGACTACATGTATCTTTAAGCCAAGTGCCATTGTGGTGGTTGAGCTGCTTGTCCTCAGCAACATGTGAGAAACTCTTGTATTGATTAATCTTCTTAGCAATGAGTAAAGGGATCAAGCAGTTTCTTTGTGTGTCTAGGCTTATTCATTTCTTCGTTTCACACACTCAATCGGTGCATTACATTAGTCTTACATGTAGCTTCTTACAGTGTACAATATTGATTTATTCCATTAGGTACAATCATTGACATAGAAACGCATTGAGTTATATAGTCGACTTAGAAATAAAACAAAAGATCAAAAATCAGTAAGTGAGGTCGAGAATGAATTAGTAAAGATTGATAGAACCTTGAATGTCATAGGCACTGAAAAATTAATTGTATTATGCTTATGGAGGGCCTATCATGCTACAAGGGGTGGTAATCTCACCTTTGCATCATACATTCCAACAACCACTTAATTTTGCCTTGCCTGATAGGCATGTGACATCAGAAAGGGCTAATCTTCTACAAAGTCAAGAACGAGTGGACAAAGATGACAACATCTAATAAATAATGCTTTATGATACATATATAATAATGGTTTGAAGTAACAGAGTTGATGATGAATTGATTGATCTACAAACAAAACCTTTAAAAATAATACACTTAATTAATGGTAATATTTACCAAAGAATAATTATTATTGTTGCAGAATCATGTCGTAGCTACAATTAAAGATTGAGTAGGTACATAATAAATACACTATAATTATCTCACTCACAGATTATATATATACTATGTACAATATTTGAGCTGATACACTATTAAACAATCAAAATGTATATATATTGCATACAATACATCTGTTTCACTCACTAGGTGCTAGCACTTCCACTAGCTGGAGGTGGTGGTGGATGAAATACATTTATCTTACTAATGCAAAAGACACAAGTGCATATGCACTTACGCTTATGAATTAAGATTTTGACAATTCTTAATAAAATGAACCTTGAATTTTTTCCGGTTTCTCTGAGTCTGAGAATCTCTAAATGAAAATGAGCAAGTGATACTTTGTGGCAATAAAAAATACAGAAACATTACCATGTACGGTCTGCTTATGTTAGCTCAGTAAAGAAAATCAAACACTACACATAGCTCACCACAGTAAAACACGTGCTTTAATTATGCAATTATAAGTCTACGATAGATCTATTCCAGGGGTTTCTTCATGCGCCCATAAGTAAATGTAAATACAATTAATAATGAATAAAAGCCCAACAATGAGCAGGCTCTATAATTATATTATAATCATTGTATATCTATTGTATGGGTGCCTATCTTTAAAAATGTCTATACTGTTAAAAGAAGTGACACATGAATCATAGTCAACTTGGCACTTCAGCTGGCACTGAGGACTTGGTAGCAATGTTCAGTTGGTTAGTTGAAGTAACAGTTCAATCATAACAACGGAGAGAATTCATGCTACTGTTTTAACTGCAGAGCCGGCAAGAGTGTCACTGACTGTGAAACCACTTCTCTTCTACATCAATAGGGTGCTACCATTGTCAAGCAGATGGCCTACCTGCCCACTCTAATAAGATCAAAGACGGTATATGAGCATGAGTAGGTGGCGTGGTAGCTAAGCGCATAGATCTATGGATAGAGCTATAGCAGGCCCCTTAGTGCATATCAATTTGAGTGGCATATCACTCGTGTCAGACCTCTGGTGACACTGTCTTAGGTAACAAATCTAACAGAATCAGAAAGTTTTTGAATACAGGCACCAGATGCAGTTATACATGTATATAATACATCACCACATGCATAAATGGGAGAAATTATGGCCAGTATGCAATACCACATTTTGAAAACATAAATAATGAGAAACAATTTGTTAGTGGTTAGACATAGTAGAGCATGTCTGTACACAAATATTTGTAGCTTTTCATTTTAGAAGTTAAGAAACAAGGCTACAAAGAGCCTACTAGCCGCTACTAGCACAACCTTAAGACCACACCCATCTCTTTTCTCCATTAATTTCTTTGGGAATCTCCTAAATCTTACTCATTCTCTATGCAATTACTCTTACAGAGATGAATCATTAATGTAACTATTGAATAGCAACATCTTCACTGCTGCTGTATTGCAGTCCATCTGTGTAGTGATGCACTACAATACAAAGGATTCCGCAGGAAAATATCAACTATAAAAAATAAATTCTGACTAAATTCAGACATAAAGCAACAGACATATTGTCGTAGACCAAATTTCAACACCCAATGCTCTCTCATGAAGGTGTTGTGCACATGAGCCTGAATTTCTTTCCTTTTGCTTAAATTGCTGAGGATTGCAATTGTCAATACTTGCCTTGTCAAATAACAGATGAACCCCAGCAATGCCATTGTTAAAGTGCTCCTTCCCATAGCTGGTAAATAGAAAAGTGTAATCTGAGATAGTTTAAAGACTTCTTTGAGGTTTAGCATTGATTATAAGCATGGCATCTACTATGACAATGTCTGGCATAAGAATATTTGCTGTAAATACTGATAAAGAAGCTTCGCTATATGTTACTCATAACTTATTGGTGCAAATGCTTTTAGAAGCATTATGTGGCAGGCTATTCTTATCAGCAAAACCTGTGTAGCACTTTTTTGGCCAGTTTGCATTGCAATTGATACTTGTTGATTTTACACACACAACATTTCTCTTTATTATTATTGTTATGGCAGTTATGAGAGACAGCATTGAATAGATATGCTGAAGGAATATCAACTATACTGATAACAAGTGAAACTAATACTAGTCTTGACACAAGTCCTTGTTCAAGAATCTTTGAGCTAAGAGTGTCTATCTTCCCAACTATGTTGTAGCTATTCCTGTTCTTCCAGGCTGTTTTCAATTGCTTATCATATCATTAATTAATTGCTTGTTTTTCTAAATAAAATAAAGACACACTTGATAGAACAATAACATGTAAGATTAATACCTTCTTTTAGCTAGTAACCTCTATTAAAGTATTGCAGTAAACTGATTTCAAGCATAGCTTGGTAAAAAAAGAACTTGCTTCTCCAGAGCTGCAGATCTGAGCATTTATGACTACACCCAAATTTTGGAGCACATGCTCCTTTAATAAACAAAATGGTGACACGCAGCTGAAATGGCTTGATTCAGCAGTCACTGTATCACTTTTTCCTTACTTGAAGAATGATCTGTTGGGACATGGACCTGCGCATATACTGTTAGGGTAGATTGGAGAAAGAATTATCCTTGTAGCACAAACTGATACTGATCCAGGTGTTGGTGTGCATCTACACACTGACACCTGGATTGACAGGACTTCTGACTTGATGATGATAATGATAATGAAGATAAAAAAAGGTGGCTAAACAAATTGGCCAGTTTGCCGATTTTCAGCTTTTCTTTTAGACAAAGTCTAGAGCCACGCTAGGGGTAACAATGGCTTCCTCTGGTCAATGTAAGGTCCAGAAAATAAACGAACAGTGAATTTTCGCAACTC